ATCCTTAGGGGCCTAACTGCAAACATGCTTGTCACATGATTGTGCGGATGTGAGAAGAATGAGCCATGTCACTCAATTCCATGCACCCTTAAGAGTATGGATCTAAAATGACCTGGGATCTATCACTCAGCATTATTTTAATCTGGCCAGTGGTTGAGCACCGACCTATGAACCAGGAGGTCACTGTTCGATTCCTGGTCAGGGCACAGGCCCAGGTTGCAGGCTCAATGCCCAGTGGGGGAAGTGCAGGAGGCAGCCGATCAATGATTCTGTCTTACCATGGACGTTTCTATTTCTCTCTCCCTCTCCCTTCCTCTCTGAGATCAATAAAAGTGTATTAAAATTACTTTTAATGAGTTGTCAGCCACGGCTAAGAGTCCTTCTTTAATTCCATTCAAAGCAAGGCCAGGGAGGCCACTGTCATAGAGTTCCCACACACGTCACTGACGCTGCTCGTTGGCACGAGAGCTGTACCTGTGGAGTGAATGCCTGCAGGTCAGACATGACGTGTGGGTCTCCGTCGTGTAACACGGAACAGGCTGAGTGTGACGGGGACGGGCCCATGGGCACCGGTATCTCCAGAGGCTACGTAGACGGCACAAGCCCACGGGGACATCACGACCCCGAAGTGACGTCTGAGGCGCCTCCATGTCCAGGCACCTGGGGACCAGTTAGAGCCTGAGCACTGGAGGGGCCCTGGGATCCAAGGGATGCATGTGACCAGCGCCTCCTGCTGAGGACGGGAGTGCAGAGACCCGAGGGCCTCGGGGACATTATCCCTGTCCCCCCCGCCCCCTCCTGTTCCCTGACTCCAATACCCTGTGAAGGGTTAGAAAGTCCCAATAAGCCTGGTTTAGATGTGACCATTAAACTGTCAATTAAGAGACTGAAAAGTAACCAGCTGGTGGTGCCAGGGAGAAATCCCAATAAAACCAGAGCCAAATTCAGACGCCCATCAGCCCTGAGGGTAACCAACACTCCCCTGGCAGAGTCGGTGAGATCGCCGGATATTGGCCTTTGGGGATGAGGCGGTCTGTTCTGTTCCACTGTCACTCACATTTTTCCATTTTGGTGCATAATTGTAACAGCTGACACTGGCTGCCAGGGACTGCGCCGAGCATTTGTCCTGGATGAACCTACTTGTCCTAACACACATCTGTGCTGTCCCCTTATTTCCAGACGAGGACACTGAGGCAGAGGGGTCAGCACCTGCTGGGGACCCCACAGACGGGAAGCTCCAGAGCTGAGCTTGAACCCCGGGAGTCTGGCCCTGAAGATGGGCTCTTGCTCACAACCCACTGAGGGGAACGTCCCACATTTGAAAGAGAGACCCCAACGGCCTCCAGATTCTCAACAATGTGTAAAGCTGCCGGTTAGGGCTCTGAGGTGGCGGGACTGAAACTGCAACAATCTGAGAATAAGTTGTGCAATAAATGCTCTAATGTTCCTCAGGGGCAAGGTGTGTGTGTGGTGTTCTTAGATCCCTCCTCCCGTCTCTGAGGAAGTGTTGGTGATTTCATGCTTCAGCGTTTGCCTGCTTCAAGTGTGTGGACGTCAGTGTGTTTTTGTTGCTGCTACAGTTCCTGTCGCCAAGGGGCCACTGTTTCTGTTAGGTCCACGGTGACGGGTTTGCAGGAAGGATTGCTGTCCCTGGGCCAATACTAAATTCAGATACAGCATCAACTTTCATCTGTTATAACTGTGTTTCTCACTAGATTATGTTAGATTTCTCTGATGGTTGATTAATTATCTACATACTAGTGGCCTGGTGCATGAAATTCCTGCACATTAAAAGGGAATTAATTAAAGGGTATATTTTAATATTGCTATTTGCTCTTTCTCTATAATAGAAGTTTTAGAGATGAAAGAAAATTAGTAAAATGTATATGAATATCTACCTCCTGTCAGAGTCTGGGGCAGGCTGCGGGACCCAGAGTCTAGTCCCCGCCCACCTGCGCCTGCCTCGAAATTGCCTGAGACCCAGACCGGGCCAGCCCAACCCTCATCAGGTCCTGCAGGGCCGGTGGCTCAGCCTCAGGTCCCCCAGCCTGGCGCTGGCAGATCTTGCAGCCTCAGGTCTTCTGTCACGCCTTGCCCAATGAAGAGTACAGCCTCAGGTCCCCCATAAAGCCCCGCTGGGTGTGGGGGCATAGCCTTAGTCCCCTGTAAAGCCCTGCTGGGTGGATCACAGACTCAGGTCCCCTGGCCCCAACACTGGGGTGGTGGGTGTGGCCTCAGGTCCCCAGACCTGAGCTCATGTCTCCCTGCCCTGGTATGAGGGTGTGAGGGTGTAATGACCATTTGCCTATTAGCTCTTTATTATACAGGATTATGACCAACTTATTGATGGCTTTTTATATGCGTCCCCCCTGGTTTAAAGGGAATGTTTTCAACAAGTTGAGAGCCTCTGTGTTGACTAGAATTTATTCACAGCAGCTTTTAGTTCACAGAAAACTTGAGCAGAAAGTAGAGAGAGCCTGGCCGGGGCATCTCAGTGGTTGAGCGTCACTCTGTGCGCCGATGGGTTGCCAGTTCAATTCCTGGGCAGGTCCACTCCAGCTGCCGCCTGAATGCCCGTCCAGCACGTACAGAGGCGCCCGCTGGGTGCTTCTCACGGCCCTGGTGGGATTAAAACACAAAGAGAAAGTAGAGAGAGGTCCCACCTCCCCTTTCCTTCCGGACACACGGGTCAGCACCTGGCCCGGTGCTGCCAGGACCCCAGGATCTCAGGTGCTGGGCCGGGTGTGGTGAGAGGGCGTGTAGGTCACAAGGAACTGCCCAGCTGTCCTGCCGAGTGGCCGTGCTCCTGTGCATCCCCTCCAGCAATGAGGACACGTTACTGCTGCCCCGCACCCCTGCCAGCACGTGGTGTCGGTCAGTGAGCTTTTCCAAACAGAGAAAGAAGAGAAAGGACTGAGCAGGTGGAGGAACAGGTTGGCATCACTGAGAGGACGGGATTGAGTCAGAAACCCAGATGCAAGCAGCTGAGCTAGAACGTCAGTGCCAGGTCCCTCCCTCCCGTCTGACAGGTCCCCCCGCCGGACACCTGTCAGAATCCTGTCTGTGCTGCATGGTCTCAAGCCCGCTGCCCTGTCACCTGCTTCCCACAGCCTGTCTCAGGGTCCTGCGGCCTCCCAGTGCCCCATGGAGCAGCGGCCCACGGTCGGCACAGGTGGGGGACCAGCCCTGTGGGTGCTTCTCCTGTGGGGCCCGATGACCACAGGGGCCACCTCTGAACCGACAAGTGAAAGTGTCACCAGGACACGTGAGCGTTGATGGATCTGAAGTTGTGTGCATGGCTTTTCCACAGGCGCTCGAGTAGGAAGGTGGCAGTGGGAGGGTGGTCCTCCTCTTGGCTCTGTTTTCTCTAGGGAAGCAGACACCACGGACTTACTCCCTCCACTGCCAGAGCAGCCCTGGCACAGCGGGCACCATTTTATCCTGAGGGTGCAGCCCAGCCACACTGAGAGCTCGTTCACTCAGGGTCACGCATCTCCCGCAGGAACATGTGCTGACCCTCTTCTCTGTGCCAGGCCCTGGGCTGAGGGAAGAGCAAAGCGGACCCTGTCCGCACTGAAGGAGCTGAACCCCAGGGGCTCCCTCCACGGTCGGGGCACACACTGTGACCCTCCCGCCTCAGGCGGTGCCGAGGGAGCCGTGCCCGGTGCCAGCAAGTCCCGCTCTAACCAAGTCCTCGGGCTGTGACGTTGATGGATGGCATCAGCCGTCCGTGAGGAAGGGTGGCTGGAAGCCAGGCCTTGTGACCTGCCCTGTCCACTGTGGCAGGACCAGTGAGGCTCACGGGGTACAAATAGCCCTGGGCTCCCCAGGCTGCTCAGTCCAGCTCCTCAGCGCTCACTGTTTGCTCAGCTGAACGCTCAGCCGCAGGAACCATGAAGCTGGCCCTGTCTCTGCTGCTGGTCACTCTGGCCCTTTGCTGCTCTGATGGTGAGTGTCACGTCCACTCAGACACCATCAGCCGGGAAGGGCCCTTCTCTGGTCCAGGTGACTTACATGGGGAGGGGATCGGTCAGATTCAAACCTTTCCCTCCCCTGTGGACCAGCCCCCAAAGCCCAGCACTCGGGGTATCCGATCCCGGGGCTCTGGAACTTCTACAGAAACCCCCGCAGGCCAGTGTGGGCGGTCCCGTGGGAGGCCCCATTCCCGCCTGGTCTTTGTCACAGAAGCAGCAGGACAGAGTCACCTTCTCGTGAGTCAGGGTCCTGCCCCTGCAGCGCTGTGGCCTGGAACACAGGCTGCATCTCCCCAGGCCTCTCCTCCCTGGATCCCAGCGCCCAGGAGAGAAGCTGGGGCGATGGCGGAGAGGAGGTGGTCCGAGGCCGCCCTGGTCTCACCGACGTCTCCTCCAGGGTCTCTTAGGTGCCAGGTGAGCCCAAGACTCTTGGACTCCTAGGTTCAGACTCAGAGAATGTTCCAGCAGGAGAGGGCTCCGTTCAAGAGGAGCAGTGCCGCCTGAGGCTCAGAGTGGCCAGTGTCCACGTGGCTCTGAGACCCAGAGGTGCTCAGGGGCCCGACAGGCCCGCTCCTCCTCCAGGGGCCCAGCCAGGACGTGTAGAGCCAGTGGGAGCGCTAGGGCCGCAACTGCCCTTTTTTCAGGTGAATGTGGCCAGTGGCCAGCAATGCTGGGCGTGTCCTCACGCCCTCGGGGCTGAGCCAAGTCCTTTGGAGTCTATTCCATCTGACATTCTGAACCCGGTCCTCTCTCCTCTCGTGACCTCTGACCTGACCCTCCACCTCCCTGCAGAGAGGCTGTCTCCCAGGTGGGAGGGGCCTGGTGGGCACAGTCCCAGCTGCAGGTGCTGGCAGAGGCCTGAGGGTGGGGATGGAGAATCCTGACCCGGAAGTGGTTCCTGCAGGTCTCAGCACAACCCACTGGGTGGAAAGTCAGCCCCGTCCCTGCGCCCCCTCCAGGGGGTTCTGTCCTCAGGGCGGAACCAAAGAGCCAGTCGTGGTCTGAGCCTCAGCGTCAGGTGTGACACTCACAGACTTTCTTGGTTTAGCCCTGAGCCCTCTCTGTCCCATGACATGATCCCAGTGTTAGACTGAGCCTCCAAGGGCATCCTCCATCCCTTAGTAGCATTCTTCCCTCCTCTCCGCATTTACTGTCTCCCTCTGGGCCCTCTGCCAGGACCTGACCCTACCCTTCCCTGGAAAGACTGAGGGCTAACAGCTCCCTCCCCCAGTAGCCAGACAAAGGCAGGGGTGGCTCTACTGAGGGGCAAAGCTGAGGCTTTGAAATCCAGGGACAGTGACTGGGGCAAAGCAGGGGACTCTTGGGAAGGCCTGGGTGTACTTGGTAAAGGGAAGACTGACCAGGGGTGGTCACCTGTGCTCCATCCGGGCTCAGCTGTGTGCTTTGTGACCCGGCGCCAGTTAGGACTTGGGGGAGATGCCTTGTCCCTGGAGGAGCCCATCATTCCCTGGGTTTTCTGTCTAGATCTTGGGTCACAGCTCTTGGGGGAAAGTGACTTTCCTACATCAATTGTGTTTTTTATTCTTCTGCTCCAGCAAATGCAGAAGTGTGTCCAGAGCTTACTTCTGTAATGTCAAACTTCATGTTGTGGCCTAAAGAGCGCTTCAACAACCAGATTCAAAAATTCGATGCACCTGCTGCCGCTGTACAGGCCGCACTGCAAGGGAAGACATGCGTAGACAAACTCTCCCTGTGGGACCGAGTAGCACTTGCCCAGTTTGTGGTAACTTCATTGTCCTTTCTGCATAGAGGCTGCTGCTCAGCTGCATGGCCAGGAGGGAGGAGGGTGCTGCTCTGGGCTGCACAGGTGGGGGGGGCACCAACCCCTCTGTTCATCTCTGAGAGAGGGGCCTGTGGCCAAAGGTGGATGGTGACCCTGACGTGTTTGCTGCTGGCCCTGCACCGGGACCATTGAATCCCCACCTGCACCCTGTCTGCCCGCCGCCCCGCTGGCCTTTGCTGGTTGCAATGGCTTCCGTGTCTTGGTTTTGAGCACAAGTTGTGCCCGTGGAATCTCCAGGGGAAGCGGGACTGACGGCCCTTTCTCTCTGTGTCTATTTCAGGAGCTATTAAAGATCTTGTGTAACAAGCAGCTTATATAAACCTCACCTATGAGGGCCCCTGCTTTCACTGATGCCCTGACCTTCCCTGGAAAATGTAGAGGTTTCAACGTCTTGCTTCAATAAATCACTTGCCCTGCACGTCCCGCCTGTCTTGTTTTATCCCAGTCTCTGGCCGTGGGTGGGGGGCATCATGAGGGGGCCTTGGGTGGTGACAACAGTGCATCATACTGACCCATTGGGCAGTGACCTGGCGCCTGAGGGCACGGATCACAGAAGGAACATAGGTCAGGGCCCGGCCCGCGTCTCTGCACAGGCCTCCCAGGCCCAGGCCCTGCATGAGCCACGCAGGCTCCCGCACCTCCATCCCCGAGGGGCCCCCTCAGCCAGCCACACACCTGAGAGCTCAGACTCCTTTCCAGCGGCTGCTGCCAGGCCCGCTGCTCACTGTGGTCAGGGGAGTCTGTCCCAGGGGCCAGGACAGGAGGCTGCGGTCTGTCACTCTCTGCCCAGACCCCAGGGTGCGGAGGCCCTGCTGGCTGTGCAAGTCCAGGGGGAAGCTCTTCCTGGCGGCTTCCCGCTGGGAGGCAGATGCAGTCCTTGTCTGGCTGCATGGGCTCCAGGGCCCAACGGAGCTGCCATTGCCCCTCCTTCCTGTGAAACCTCTGCCTCCTCCTCCCCCACATGTGGATGGCAGAGAGCAGGCCCAGGAAATCCAGGGTTGTCGCCCCCACTCAGAATCCGTACCTTTATCACAGCTGCAAAGTCCCCATAGAGAAGAAAGGGAAGTCCAGGGCTTAGGGCATGGAACGTTTGGGGGCTTATGACCCCACTGCAGCTCATCTGAGTCCTGACACCTGTGAGCCACCCCGTCTCCCTGCACGGCCCCCTCCCTCCTACAGCCTGTCCTTTCCATCTGCACAGCCATCGTCATCGTCCTGCCTTCGTCACTCCTGCTTGTGCCCAAGGCTCCTACCCGGTCCGGTGGGCTCGGAGCTGCCCTCCCTGCCATGCGCCTGCGCATCCACACCGCAGTGACCTCCCACAGGAAGGGGAACCGGCCCTTCTTCTGCACCTGAGAGCCTAGGCCATGGTCCCCATGTTTCCAGGAAGAGGACGTCTCATTAGTCCTCAGCGTCTCCCATGATGAAGGGCACATGATGCCCACATGACTGAGAGCATAGCCGATGGGGGCCCATGTTATCAGTGATGCCCCTCGCGGCCACAGTGAGTGTGTGTGTGTCTCATCGGGAAACACGCACACTCAGTTGCCTCTTTTCTGAAGCACATGATGTGCTCAGTCTGCAGCCTGTGCTCGGTGGACGCAGGATTCTTGAGCTCTTGCCACAGCCTGAGAGACACAGGCTGGGGTCCCGCTGGCAGGGCCGAGGCCCCCGCTGTCGCTGCTCACAGGGCCTCGCACGACCCATCCCTGCACCCTCTGACCATCTCCCTGCTCGGCTCGGTTCTGTGCTCAGTCATCCTTGTCTTTATGCCGCTCACACAGGCAGTACGTTGGGTCACACCCCCGCACGTGGACATGTTGGGGTCCCTCTGCCTCCACATTGCTCCCTGCACAGAACAGGTGACCACCTCCTCTGTGTGGTTCATTCCATGTCTCCCTTCAGGGGCCCTCTCTCACTCTCACCCCTAAAATAAACCTTTATGCACAGACACACAATTTATACTTAGCGACACTCAGAGTGATACACATATTTACACACACACAGACCTCCCCCTGAGACATGCATAATGAGACTCGTGTGTATACACACACACACTGACATGCACACACACAGACATGCACATAGGCAGACATGCACACAGACACATGCACATACAGACAGATATGCATACAGAGAGACATATGCACATAGCGGACACATGCACACACACAGGCATAGTGAGCCTCTGTGCTCTCTGTGTCTTTCTGTGATGTACTAGTCGCATCACAGCGTGGTTGTGAGAACACAGTGAATACATCCATAGTAAGGACAAATGGTATCACCCATTGCTGTGGGTTGTAAACTGCCTCAGAGTTTGCCAGCAGCCAGCAGCCCCTGGGCGGACGGGGTCCGGGAAGGTCAAAGTCCTGCCTGCCATTTCCCGGTGACTGGTCTCCAGGAAGGTGAGGGCCGTCACCACCACCGGACATGGGGACGAAGCAAGTGCTCCCACAGCCCCTGCAGCCTGGCTCAGGTCCTGTCAGAACCCGCCAGGAAGACTCAAAAGCAGGGATGCCCCCACCCCGCCTAGGACCAAGGTGTGGGATCAATGTGAGGAGAGCCCAGGTGGTCCCCAGGCCTCAGCTCCTGCTTGAAGGGGGGGCCCCAGTGTCTGGAAGGTGGGGCCCATTGACCGGGGCAGACAGCAAGGCTGTGCCTGAGGGTGAGCAGCTTCCAGCGCAGCAGAAGCCCGGGGACCCTGCCCTCGGGCCCCCTAGCTCTGCTCTCAGCTCCCCCAGCCCTGCCCTTGGCACCCCCAGCCCTGTGCTCAGGCTCTGCCAGCCCAGCAGCTGCAGGCCCGTCCTCACTCCCAGGCTCTGCCACTGAGACCCAGGTCTGCACAGGCCTTGCCCTCTGAGCTGCTGACCGAGGGAGAGGGGGCCACAGGCTGTACAGGCGGGGCTGGGGGAGGGGTGGTGACTGTTTAATGGGGGAGCTCCTGTTAGGGGTGAACCTGGACTGGACAGTGGTGACATAAAGACGGTGCATGCAGCAATACCATGAATTCTACACGCATATCAGGTGAAATGGTAAATTGTATGTTGTGCGTGTTTTACCAAACACACAGGGAAAGCCTCCCACACCTGAGGCCTTCGAGAGGTGGAGCAAAGGCACCTGGAAGTGGGAGTAGGGCCTGCATCCCACCCCATACACCCTCCAGGCTGTCCACACCTCACGTCAGGCCATGTCTGCTGTCAACTCCCTGCTCCCCCCTGGACGAGGTGGTGCTCTCCCCTGTCTCACCCTCACACGTCTCCTCTCCGCACCCGCTAACCCTCCGTGACGGCTCAGTGTTCCCAGCCCCAAGCACTGGCTTTGGCATTCACCCACTTGAAGCAAACTTTCAATGAGTCTCTATTCCTATAGTAGGAACTGTGTCTGCGTTCAGAAAGCAGCCTCTTCAGGCCTGTGTGGGCATCACAACCTCTCTCGTGTCCCAGTGAGCACCTCGCCTTCCTTCCCTCCTTTACTTCTGCTCTTCTCTCCCGGATGCCACCATCGTTTCTGACGTATCGAGGGCGTGAACATGGAGAGAGACAGAAGTCAGGCCAGCTATTCATCAGTACGTGTTCTTTGAGACTGGTCTACGTCCCCCTGGGCCGGGAAGAGCTCTCTCTCCAGGGACCCTTTCCTGGGCCTTCAGAAAGCTCGGTGCCTGTGCTCGCTGTTGTCTTCATGGGGAATAAACATTCAAAGTTAAGCAAGGTGCTCTGGGAAAATAAAAACATGATGGCTGGGAAATCATAAAGGGTTTGGAAGACAAAGCAGAACAATGTAACAAAGGCCTAAAAGACCAGAAATGTGAGCGAAAAGAACAGCATGGAGCTTCCATTCAGGAGCTCCCACTAACAGGATTCCAATAAGAGAGCGATCCAGGCGGAAAGACAGTCACCAAGGAAATACATCAAGCAAATCTCCCCACAGTGAAGAATATGAAATGAGCCCGGCCAGCGTGGCTCAGTGGTTGAGCATCGACCGATGAACCAGGAGTTCACAGTTCCATTCCTGGTCAGGGCACATGGGTTGTGGCCTCAATCCCCAGTAGGAGGCATGTAGGAGGCAGCTGATCAAAGATTCTCTGTCATCATTGATGTTTCTATCTCTCTCTACCTTTCTCTCTGAAATCAATAAAAATATATTTAAAAACAGAATATGAGATGGAATAGCTCACTCATTCCCCACAACAAAACACCTTTGTGTGACTTTTTGGACCAGTGCCCTAAAGAAAGGAGTTCCTTTCAGAATGAAACACTAAGTCACGGCAAGGAGGAGGAACAAAACAGAATGCACACAAGACTGGAAGCCACAGAGTAATACTGAAACCTCTGAGGCTCTGACCTATAATTGAATATGACTAGAATTCTACATGCAGTTAACTACCATTTAAGCATAAAGAGAAATAGAGATATTCCGAAGTGCAGATCTTCAAAAGTTTGATCTGCAATGTTCTTTCTCTCAGAGGCGGGGAGAAAGTCTGCTCTAGAAAAAGGGGTAGATGGAAAAACAACAACAAGGCATGGAATCCAGTAAACACAGGATATAACATAGATGCTTATGCTGAATCTGTATTCGTCACAAATATTTCCACAGCAGAAGACACAGTGCTAATGTTCTCATGGAAGTTGTCTTTCAATATTTCCTTTTTGGGACAATGCTCCTATACCATTATTTCCAAATAAAAATGTATAAAATTACAGGAAGTTGTAAGATAGAAATGCAAAGGAATGTCAGGAGTGAAGAAAAAGAGCAAACAATGATTGGGGACAAAATTTGGCAAAAAATAAGATGAAATGCTGCAAATCATTTCAGATAACTTGGCTTCTACACTGAACCAAACTTAGGAGAAACGTGATGTCTTTTGTTGAAAGGATTAATTGATCTCCTTAAGGAATCGATTAACATGTTAAATGACAAGACCTAAGACAGGGCAGAGAAGGGAGATATGAGGTGTATCACTAGCATGAGATTGTATCATAGAGATTAAAGGTCTATAGATATTCAAGGAAGACCAGGCCTTATGAGCTTGCATTCTCCAGGAGAAAGTGAGGCCCTCCAGGAGTGAGGACAAGCCAGGGGAAGTCACCACCTTGAAGCTGAGCTCCGAGCTGGAGAACACACGGGCCCCACTCCTGTCGGTCTAGGTCTACACAGGTTCCACTTACTGTCCGCTGAGTGTAAGACCATCTCAAGGCAAAGGCTTCCAGAGATTTCTCCATCACTGGGTGTCTCAGCCATGGCTCTTGTGCCAGTGGATGTACCTGGTAGAAGAGTTCTCTTCTGGGTGGATGTCCTGTGCACTGTGTACTGTTTAGCAGCAAACCTGGTCTTACCCATTGGATGCCAATAGCACACCACCCACCTGTGAGGACACAAAGATATATCTGGGCATGGACAAGTATTCACAGGGGTGGGTAC